AATGAATAAAAAAGTATTTTATGGTAGGAAGTAGAAGAATGTTAGGCGATTGGGCGAGGTGAGCCTCAAAGGGCACCTTGTCGCCTAGGCGCCGCTTAGACACCCGCCTAGGCATCGCCTTGACAACTATGGGTAGGATCATCCTCCGACGATTTCTTCTTGTTCCCGGTAATGTAACCCCATTTTCCTCTACTACACACATGTATCTTAATAGATTGAGACCAAGCTAAATAATTGGACCCATCTAACTTAATAGTATTCACAGCCCCAAAAAGATTATCCATTAACTCCCCATGTCCAAACTCGAAATTTGTGGAATATTTGGTCTCTCCTCCAGTTTGCTCCATTGAGTGAATGCAAACGAAAATCAAATTAGGGTTTTACTAGGCTAGATTTACTGTCTTAAGCAAAGAACCACCCTTCAACCTCCCAAAAATGGGGTTTCACAGGACCCGGTAGGATGGGGAGAAAGAGAGAAACTTCAACTGCTCCTACCAGAGGTTCCAAAACTTCAACTTTCTTTGCCCATGTCTCTACGACCTGTAACAAGAATTCTCTAGTTATTTAGGGTTTTCGGGAAGAATCTCTAAGAACCTGCCATGGGCTTCAACTGGGCTGCATAAGTTGATGATTGATAAACCGATCAGTTCTCCATACACACTGTGTATGGGCAAAGAAAGAGAAAGAAGTTGAAAGTGAGAACCCGCTCTAATACTAAGTTGAGAAATACACCTGTAGTAATTCAGAAAATATAAGAAAAGAAAGAAAGAAACGAAGAGAAAGAAGAAGAAACAGGTTTCAGTAGTAGGTTGTGGAAGAAGAGAAGGGAAGAGAGAAAAGAAGAGTTTGAACCACTCTCTACTACACTTGATCTCTTTTGTTAACTTAATTCTAAAATTAAGTACAATTACCTAGATGTCCTTAATGGGGTGGCCAGCACTAAAGAAATAATTAAAGGAAAAAAAAAGCCCATAACCGACAAACATAAATTTAAACACTACTTAAAAGAAATAAAAAACACTATGGCCCATTCAGCCCAATCTCACTACAATAATTAACAACAAAATTAAGATCAAGTGAAGTTTAAATAGAGATAGAATGCAATAATCTTTAGTAGTTCAAACGGGTTTGAGGTTGTAACATATAGATCTAGAAGAAGAATGAAACTAAACCAAGGAAAAATGTCCATTAGGGTGGCAAAAGATCAAACAAAAGTTACCTATATTGGCCCAGTCCACAATACAGAAGGCCATTATCTAGTAATTATACAAAGCTAGGCATTTGATTGGTAACACCCCTCTAAAGGACCTTTTCCCATTATTATTTTCTGCTTCATTTTATAAAAAAAGAGGTGGTTTCAAAATTTATCACTTCTCCAGGAACACCTATGGCTCTTACCTAGGACTTTGGTTTTCTAGGGGTTTAAGGGATGATAAAATTGAATCCCTCTTTGACTTATTGTGTTTCCTTAACCAGGTTTGTTTAGATCCCTCCAAGCCAAACAAAAGGGTGTGGACTCCTAGACCCAAAGGGACCTTTACTTGTGCTTCTTTTTTCAAGTCCATTTCTCAATCCACTATCCCATAGCCTTTTCCTTCAAAGGAAATTTGGTGCAGGTCAATCTCCCCAAAGATTAAGGCATTTTGTTGAGAAGTGTATTATGGGAAAGTAAACACTCTAGACAACCTACAAAAGCGAAGACCTTTCCTTTATATTTCTCCCAACTGGTGTAAAGACTACTGGAACAGACCAACAGAAAGCAAATAATCAGTTTTACAAGAGGAGGCCACGTCAGCACAACTAATCATCCACTTGCAACAGCTGTAACAGAAAGAAATCAAGATTCTAAACCGTATAAGTAGTAAAGAACAAGAGAAATAAGACAGGTTCTTTCGGCATTAATCTCTCTCTCTCTCTCTCTCTCCTTCCAAGGATTCAGGAGGTTGGCCCCTCGAAGAGCCCTGAGTTAGGCAGGTTCCTAACAACTGGTGTACCCTTTGTAGAGCTCATGGGGAGGATTGTTATCATGTCCATTGAAGCTTGCCTATTGAAGTCTGCTTGATCTTTGAATGCTCTACTTTCACTTGGCCTACTAAAAGAGGGAGAATTATGTGGAGATGTGCTCGTGCTGCCTTGATTTGGACTTTATGGGAGGAAAGGAATGGTAAAATTTTTCAAGAGAAGGAAAGGAGAATGCACGAACTAAAAGAATGTGCGTTGAATAGGGCAATTCAATGGCTGAAGACTTTGGAAATCTTTCAACAATTCTCCTATGACGACCTTTGAAGAAACTAGGCACAAGTAGTGAGGTGCTCCTCCATTAAAAATAAGATAGTTACAAGGTGGTCTCCTCGATCTGAAGGCTCTTTAAAGCTGAACTTCAATGGAAGTAGCTTGGGCAATCTAGTTCTACCTGGAATGGGGGGCTGCTCTGAGGAATGAGTTTGGAGAGGTGGTACTACTCTACTTGGGTCCTTTAGGAGTTGGAGATTCTGTTAGGGCTGAGCTTTTAGCTGCTGTACAAGAGGTGCAGTTTGCAAACCAATTAAGAGTAGAGCATATAATCATTGAAAGGGATTCCAAGGTGGTGGTGGGCTGGCTGAAAAACCCCGAGGATACAATATGGTGCTACAAGAATGAAATTAAGAAATTTATTTGGCTGAAGACCCCCGATTGAAGGTTTTGCTAAACTGAATTTTGATGAGAGTTGCCAAGGTAATCCAGGCCCTTGTGGAACTGGAGGGGTGGTGAGAGATGGAGAAGGTAAACTTAAAGCACTGCTTTCTGGTCCTGTGGGTATGGGGGACTCTGTCAAAGCTGAACTGATTGCTGCATTTCAAGGAGTGCAGATAGTTAGTGAGCTAAACTTGGCAAACGTGGTGATAGAAGGGGATTCGAAACTAGTGGTAGAATGGCTAAGGAATCCTGAATCTATAATTTGGTGTTATAGGGGTGAAATGAAAAAATTTACTTGGCTAACCAGGAATATGAATTTAAGCATACAATGGGAGAGAAGATCAGCAAATGGGATGGTGGATGCTTTGGCTAAACAAGGGGTGAACAGATCTAGTTTATTCAGGACACAGTTGTGATATGTTTTTTCTTTGTATGAGAGGTAGCAGCTCGTGCCTCTCTAAGGGATGATTGTACAATCCTTACTTTAAGAATTTTAATAAAATTCTAATTCTTACCCATTTATAAAAAAGAGAAATGGATGAGCATCCATCGTCCAACACCCTGATTTTACATTTCCAATTCTACCCTTCCTTGATTTCAAATTTCCAATCCTATCCCCTCTTAAAAAATGAGAATGTGAAATACACAAAAAATTTACAAAATAAAATATAGAAAATCATAAAAATTTCTATACCATGTATATCTTATATACTAAAAAATGAGAACGTTGCAATTGGTTTAGTCAAAACACCCTGATTTTACTTTCCAACTTTACCCTCAACTTTCTATTTTTCCCATTATATATATTATCACTACAAAATAATTATGAAAAACATAAAATGAAGAAAACAATATGAATTACAAAAAACAAAGAAATACATTGGAAATTTACAAAAAAAAATGTAGAAAATCATAGAAACTTATATATCATACTGGAAAATGAGAATGGTACAATTGGTTTGGTCAAAACACTAATTTTACTTTTCAACTTTGCCCTCAACTTTCTATTTTTTCCATTATATATATATATATGTTATTGCAAATAATTATGAAAAAACACATAAAATAAAGAAAATAATATAAATTATAAAAAACAAAGAAATACATAGAAAATTTACAAAAAAATAGAAAATCATAAAAATTGAAGAAAATAACATAAATTACAAATCTATACCCAATATATAAAAGCATAGTCAAACATCACCATCAATATCAAATACCCCGTGCATCGCATAGGCCATTCCACTAGTATTCATAAAAATAGGAACATGTTGGTTTCTATACAGTGGGTGGGGAGATCAACAAATACTTTAGCTGATGTGTTAGCCAAACAAGGGGTAAATAGGGAAGAATTGTTTTGGGCTCAGCTATGATTTATGTAATTCATTACTAGTTTATTTATGAGCTATTGGGAGAGACTGCAGCTCACGCCTCTCCATGGGTTGTTGTATGATGTTACAATTCTAAAGCAGTTTAATAATACTTTTATTACACATAAAAAAAAACTGCCTCGTTGAACGCCTCATTAATTTTGCAACCCAGATTGGCTAATGTCTTAGCTGATTCTTTAGCCAGAAGTTGAGTGAGAAGAAGACAGATTGTATGGGGAATGCCTAGCCCCGGGGCTAACTAATGCACCTGATCTTCTATTTGTAACTCTTTCACTGTTTGTTGAACCTCACTGTTTTGTATTACAGGTTTTATGAATCTCTGTTTTTAGATCTTATCTAATCAGAAGGAGTTTCTTATCAGACCATTAAAAAAGATTCTTTGTACTTGTACACTAGGTTCTAAGCAAGAATAATTACAGTTTGCACCATTACAGAAAGGGAGCAAAGCTAATCCTAGCAAAGTACTACAAGTTCCAGAGATCATTAGCATTTGCAGCCCCACACGTTTTCTGGCCTGCATATGCACAAGTTAATGCAAATATACACGGTTACACATAGACACAGGAAAAACACATCTAACTACAGAAAGCTAACAATTAGTCTTGATGAGGAAAAAAACAGTGGACAAAGAAAATATTAACATTATAACCAAGTAATTAAGTTCAATATGAAGATATTTATATCATTAGATAATCAAGGTCAAAACAAATAACATGGGCTAAACCTGGCACTGGATTTGTTAGGAAGTCCTGATTTAAGAGAACAGTGAAACTAATTGCATAAATTTGATATCACAAACTCAATATTGGCTAAAGGAAGAATTTGCTAGAGGAAAACTGATGAATGCATCAAAATATGAAAAGAGAAAAATATTGTGCACAACACTTGTGGATATATAATCATCTATGAAGAAGCAGGTTTCTTGGAATCTACCTTTTCATGGGGCGGGATTTAAGTTGTGATTCCTTTTCAAGACCAATTTTGTCATTTAGACCCAATTTCAAATCAGGCATTCCAGAAAGGAAGCACTTCATGAGAACCTTCCCAGTCACATCACAACGCAGAACACTACCTATAATCACCAATATCAGATTCAACCAGAGATGCAAGTACATGGTATGGTACCAGGAAAACAAACAGTTAGGATACCCATCAAATACCTTTTGAGGACATGAGAAGATTGACACTTTCGACAATATCCAGAAATACCTGTAATACATGTATGAAAATCCGGAAGAACAGATTCCCATTCTAAATTTCATAACAAAAAATAAAAGAATTTCCACCTCATTCTTCTTGTAGACTAGGCCCTCCCTTCGCCAACCAACAGCACCAGTAACTTGCAGAGTTGCATTTGGAACCGGCTTGTCTGCAGGCTGTAAATATTTCACATAAAAAAACATTTAAGGAAATTTATATACTAGAGCGTGATGTATCACCATAATGAATAACTAATATATGTAACAGAAATCATAGGTCTAGGAAACACCTCAAATTTTTAATACGTCATAGGACCCTATATTCTACAATATTAGACTCACATCTAACCTTGGATGAGAATGGAGAGCGAACTCCTTCTTGAGTAATATAAAGCTTCAAAATTTCCGGAGCAAGATTTTGAGGGTAACCAAAGTCCATTATTTCTGCATATTCAGTAAAGGTAATCAAAATACTGATACATAATCTTTTTACTGTTATGACAAGAATGTCTATACATAATAATGTTAAATGTTATTCCCACGATTCAAAGAGGAAAACTAGTAAACAACTTCGCCCTCCAGGCATGGTAGGACCTACAAAAAGACAAACTACAAGACAAAGTAGGATGTCTTTCATAGTCCCACCTTATCTGCAAGGTGAAGAAATCCAAGGGTATTATTTATTAGCATTTCTCTTGAAATAAATACCATAGAAATGGCCTTCTATCTAAAGCATAATGATATGCAGAGAAACTAGCATCTAACAAATAATGTAAATGAGATAAGAAGAGAAGCTAGTAGACAGAAAAGCAGAACAAAGCTTCCACCTGAAGCATAAAATAGAGTATTTCCAAATTTCAGGAAGAAACATATAGCTGAGAAATCCCAAAAGGAAAACAATACAATCCACCATACCTGTTGAAAATACTTAATATCAAGAGAGGGCAAATAATATTGAAACTTGACAGAAAGAATCAAAAATAACATTGCTGTGGAACTTAGTTTTTCATCAGTCAAAATTTTACAAAAGTATTGTTATTATGTATAAAAAAAAAGTACCATAAATAAAATGATACAATTTCCCACAACCTCCATGAAACCAAGTATCCCAGCCATCTCTTAAAAATATTTTTTGAAGGTAAGCAGGAGGGTTAGGCAGACCACTGACCACCTATATCGGTACCAAAAGTAGATACATCTCTAGGGGAATATCATTAGGAGTAAAAAGAAAGCTGGGCACAAAAAATTGCACTATCAAACAAATTTTCATAAGCAGAAAAAAAATATCAATAACTGAATGAGATTACAAAGTGAGGGGGGAGATAAACTCTCTTAAATCCCCCCAAACGGTGAAACAAAAAATTACAATATAGCCCAGAAAAAGTTGCTTCTTCCCACCACTTGCTTGGCCAAAACATCAGGCAAACAATTAGCATCTCTCTTAGTCCAATGCAGCTGAATTTAGATGCATTGTGTCAGGCACCTGAACTTCCTTTATTCATTTATTTAATCCCACCAGCCCATCTCCTCTTTTTGAAGCCATCCAATAACAAGCTTTGATTCCCCTTCAATTATTAGCTTAGAAATATTTAATTCCTTGGCCATCTGAACTCCTTCCATCACAGCATAAATTTCAGCTCAAAACGAGTCACCTACTCCAATAGGGCTTGAGAAAAGAGCCCTAATGAAACCATCCTCATCTCTGAAAACACCTCCAATACCTGATGGTATAGGATTGCCCTCACTATTACCGTCAAAATTCAGATTCATAAACCCATTAGTAGGAGCAGTCCAGGAGGGTTTAACAACAATTTTCAATGGAACAGAGTCAGCCACCTTCCCTCCACTTTCTCATCAGATAAACAGGCGATATTCCTTCAAAGATTTTTGAAGTCTTCACCCTATGAATCACCATAAATGTAATTGCTTCAATTAGGGCATCCCTACCTCTTTCCTTCTCTAGAAATAGTCTCTGATTTTTTTTTTGAAAAAAAAGGTAACTTATATTAATTAAAAGGGCAAAAAAAGGGGGGGATGTACAAACAGAATAAACAGGCAGGCCTACTAAGAGACACCCCACTTAAGGGGGCAAAGTATTTGCACCATGCAAAAAGGTTCTGTTGAAATAACTTAGTTTATTTTAAGTTTAGTGCCGCAAGGGCACCTTTGTAATTTTCTCTTTTCTTTTTTTTCTATAGGGTTGCCCTAGTATAAATACCAATTAAACTGGCGCCGCCAGTTGACTTTTGGCCTCTTTCATTTCTGTCTCTCTTCTCTCTCTTCTCCCTTCTCTTCTCTCTGTTCTGGAATCATACCATCTCAGCACCAAGAAAACATGGTATCAGAGCCGCAGATCCAATCTTAGGACCAGGGCGGCACTTCTTTCCCTTTTTGTCTATTGGTGATTGAACAAAAGAACAAGATCTGGTGGACGTGTGAGGAAGCTCAATGCAAGACTGTCCCTTTTCCTTGGTCGTGAGCCCGGAAACTATCAAAAAAAAAAAAAATCAAATGCTGTGAGTTTTTTTAGTTTTCCTTCCTCAGTTTGTGGATCGAACTGATCCTTTTTGTACCCAGATGTGTGGGTTATGTGGGTCTAATGACTTGCGGCTGGTGTGAGAGTGTTTTCTCTCATTGTATGTGGATCGAGTGGTTATGCCCAGAAAAGTGTTATTGCTTCAAGACTACAAATCTGTAACTGTTGTGACAGCAGTTTATTTCCTTCTTCCATTCATATTGAACCTAAGTTACTGTGTGAAAGCTGTTTTGTTGCTAGAGGGAATGGTCAGATCTGTTTTTTGATATACTTTACACATCTGAAATGGTGTGTGACCAATCTGAAAGGGTTCAGTAGGGCCGAAACCTGAGAATAGTAATGGTGTGTGACCAGCTGTGATTTCCTTGTGTGAGAACAAGTTTTCTTTTGTGTCCAGAAGTGTGGCTTAACTGAAAACTTGATCAGATTGCTGCAACCTGGTTTTTTTTACTGTACTGTGGGTCCGAACTGAACTGAAAAACTTGTTATCTAGCTGGTTTGTGACTGATCCGATTTAGCTTCTATGTCTTCAGAAGATTCTAGTATGTCTGGTGTTACCTCTAGCCAGAGTGGGATGAGCGGAGGTTTTGACATGAGTTTTCCCATGGCTGTGATTCCCTTTGATGGCCTCAATTACCTAGAATGGTCAAGGAGAATCAAGATTTACATAACTGCAAGGGGAAAAGCAGGATATATCAATGACAGAATTAGAGAATCCCAGTCTAGTGGTGTAGAACATGATAGCTGGGACTAAGAAAACAGCATGGTGATGTCATGGCTGTTATAATCTATGCTGCCACAAGTGAGAAAGACCTTCATGTGGGCAGAAACAGCTCATGAGATATGGGAACAGGCACAATCTACATACTTCGAACAACGGCATTATGCTAAAATATATCAGTTGCAGGCTGCCTCCTCAACTTGTAAACAGGAGGAGAGGAGTCTCTCCGTCTACTATTCAGACCTCACTTCTGTTTGGAAGGAACTAGATCACTATCAGAATATAGACTAGAAGTGTGACATAGATGCCAAAACTTACAAGTCTCCGGTTTCCCAGTAACAAGTGTTTGCCTTTCTATTAGGGCTGAATCCCATATATGAATCTATTAGGGTTCAGATATTGGGGGGGTAAAGACCTCCCATCAGTACAAGAAGTATATGCTCCAGTGCAGTCAAGGTTTAAAGTATCAGAAACGTAAGGTGTATCGAAAAGATAATTTTAAGAGACGTATCGGGATACACTTTGAATACCTAAAAGATACGGACGAAAAATCAAGATACGCATAAATATGCTAAAAAATGCAAATAAATCCTAAAAAATATATTAATAACGATAAATAAGTTATTTAAAAGTAAAAAAAAAAAATTGTAATTTAATGGTCTATATAAAATTCGAGATATCGAGACACACTTAATAACTATTGACAAATGATGGAATAACTAAAACGTGAAAAAACAAAAAAAACCTAAAATGTATATTGATATACATTAGTTTTAAATCAATCAATATAATTTATCTTAATATTTATTAATACATAAATTTTAATAACTAATTCTACTTAAAAATAAAAATGCATAAACTTATAGCAAGCAAATGGGCATGGCTTAGTGGTGATTGGTGTACCTCTTGTTTTTAAAGTCTAATGGCTAGGGTTCGAATCTTGCTACTGCTAATTTGTAGTTTTATACTAACAAAACGAATTTAATGAGAAAGAGGGTTATTAATTAACAAAATTAATGAGAAGAGAATTCCAATTAGGTGCTAAAATTGAAATTCAAATTTAAAATTATGCATTAATTACAGGAGTAATTAACTAATTAATGAGAGAGAAATTCATTTAAATATAGGAGTAAATATAAAATTAATGAGAGGTAATTCGGCCTTAAATATAATTTAATGAAATTAATGAGAGAGAATGGGACTTGTATCAGGCTGTATCGGATTGTTCCGAAACCATATCGGCCGATACAGACCCGAAACAGTCCGATACAAACCGGTACATACGAAAAGGAACGCTATAGATAATTTCTATGCATTCCGTGTATCGGACTTGTACCGGAACGATACGTATCGGCCGATACGGTCCGTTACTTTGCGAAATTTTGAACCTTGGTGCAGTCAAAAGAGAGCTAACGGAATGTGATGAATAATCCTGAGGGAGAGAATGTTGCTTTAGCAACTAAAGGGAGTGTTGCTATGGGTGGTGGAAACTCCTTCAAGAAGAGTGACTTCCAGAAGAAAGTTGATGACAAAGATAAGTTATGGTGTAATTTCCATATCTCTTTTAATAAAAGTGATGTTATTGATCAAGAAAAAAAGATAAGTTATGGTGTACACACTGTCAGAAGTCTAGGCATACTCGAGAGACATGTTGGGAGCTTCACGGGAAGCCAAAGTGGGCTTAGGAAACGAGTAAAAAGCCGAATCAGAATAAGAAGCTAGGACAACAAGGTCAGAGAAAGTTTAATGCAGCAAATTTAACCTCTCAAGAGCCTCAATCATCTACCACCACTATGATCCCTTCCGGAACTGATCCGAGGGATTCATTAATTCTTTCCGTGACCATTTAGAGTTGTATGGAAGGGCAATCCGCCAGATGGATTCTGCTTCTCCACCCTTGACTTCCTTTGCATCTACATCAGGTAACGGTAATTCTGCCACAGCTTTTCATGTGTCCTCTCATCCCTTAGACTCCCCTTGGATAATAGATTTTGGAGCCTGGAACCATATGGTGGGTAAGTTCACTTGTTTTCAATCTTATCATCTATTATCTAGTTGGGACAAGGTGAGACTTGTTGATGGTTCTTTCTCCACCATAGCTGGTCAAAGAACCATCTCCCTTCCTCTTGGACTCACCCTCTCTGATGTTCTACATGTTCCTAAACTACCCATAAATTTGTTCTCTGT